TCCCTCAAATAACTGGGTCATATGCCATATAGGGCTTGATAGATCATAATCAGCACCTTGAATCACACCCAGAAGCAACCTGGCAAGTAATGCAGTTCACGGAGCAAAGGTATTACATGGACGTACTAAGGCATGCCACCACATCACCACATTCTGGAATGTTTTACTATAATTACAAGTTTGTTACTATGGTTATGTTTTACTGCTGTTTCCCTTGATCATTATTTTGCCTGCAAGTTAAAATAAAAATATAGTAAGTGATCAAATAATAGAAGGAAACATCTTATTAGCTGATATGCACAAAAGTGGATCAGGAATCCATAAGTGGATATCATGTGGCCTTGTTGCTACACCCAAGAGAACTCTTAGTATGACTAAGGCAGTTCTATACCTGGTGTGTTTTAAGTCATTTGGCAGCCTAGTGACTTGTCTAATATATGGTCCTATGTACGCAGCACTTCACAAACAGTGTTCACAAGCCCTTAGTGGCAAAATATCTTAAGACCAAGGAAAGGAAACTACACACAGATTTCTAGGAAGCTGATGCTGAGCTGGTTAATAAGAGATGCTATAAAAAATTAAGTACTTTCTGAAATTTAAATTTATTATTGTCAACATATTGACACAGTACAGATAGCTGTTTATGGAACTTTTTTGTAAAGTGTAAAGACATAATTTGAAGTATCTTTACACATGTCTTGCCGAGTATTACTGATAAGCACCAGTTTTAATTTGCTTCAGCTGTAAGTCCATTTAAATGCCAAAATAAAAAACAAAAGTGTTCAGAACCTAGGAGCAACCATCAAGGAAAATTTATTTTTGTGTTCTGTCAAACAAAGCATTTCCTGGTAGGTTCATACAAGATAATGCTGTATTTTAAATATTCTGATCTCAGAGTATGCAGGATTTTGTATGTCACAACCAACCCATTAAACTGTGTGACAGAAAAGACTACTAGCTAGTCAAGCTGTTGTAACAAGGTAGTTACATGCTTCATAAAACCAGCTGTAGTTAACAAATACTTTATAATGGCCGTTCTCTCCAGGGATAGCTATGTTGGATATTCGGGCTCTTCTGAACTTTTTAGGTCTCTTTAGTTCACTCCCCATTTAGACAAGGAAAGGCAGATTCCAGAATTCATGGGATGGGGGCAAGGGCAAGGGAAAGTTCACTTAGTTTTTTGGAGGTGCCAATTTAATCCCTTCCTTTCTTTCCTTTCCCTTCCCAAAAGCCATTGCATCTATTTAGTCACAATGGTATAGGGATTCCACTTATTTTTTTTTCAAAGAATGATAACTTGATAAGCAATGGTCAAGTGACTATGCAAGATGACACAAACAGATGGTCATTCTTTGGGGAAAAAAAACAATAAAAATGCATAAAATATTTTAACTTTTTTCTTTTATTTTTAAAAAAACTTCCTTTGTGAACTCTCCTCCCACAAAATAGGCAGGACACTACACACATTTTCTGATTAGATAAACATTATTTGAAAGAAAATGTAGAGGGAAAGTTCCTGTAGTGCTGCATTTTAGTATGGGCATGCTGGGACTTTTTTTAAAGTAAAAAAATATGCATGTATAGCTATTTTCAGTTACCCTTGGTAATGGTTACATTTTTTTTTCCTCATGAACAATTAGGAACATCTATGGCTATAAAACCTGTAAAAAGTATTATTTTGGAGGGAAGGGGAAGGAGGGTAGGATTTGTCCTTTCTTTACTCGACTCATTAGCCTAGATTAATGAGTTGTTGGGAGTTGGGGAGCATATAAATTTAATAAATAATTATTTATTATTATTAGTTGTGCAAGTATACAAACTCTTGGTCACTTCTAAAACTTGAGTGTCCAATTAGAGGGTTAAATTTAGGATTATCCTCAAGGCAAAGTTCTTGAAGAGAAGTAAAGATCAGTTCAAAACTGGCTGAATTATCATTTCCTGATTTATCCTTGCTTGATTACTTGGTAGCTATCAGCTTCTTTCCACTATAAAGAATAATATGGGGATAGCAAAAATTCTACCCTCAAAATAAAGCGTAAAAATAGTAATACTGTATTTATTTCAGTCCAGCATGGTTAGTCAGTAAGTATATTAAGCAATCCATTAGAAAGAAAGGAAGAAAAAAGAGCTTAGTAATATAAAAGTACAGTGTGAGAAAATATTTATAATAATGCAGTGTTCCATTCAGGAAAATTCAGAGGTCAAATGAAACAAGCACATCTCTTTACCTTTGAAAACAGTGCTCTTATATATGATTCATGAACTCAAGACAATGGTTTCATGTCCTGTGTGAAACATATAGAGGCTCTCTTGGGACTATGAAGGTGAAGCATTAAAATAACCTTGGAAACATTTCCAAAGGAAAATATGACACCACTTCTGGCATCTTCCCAGGAAAAAAAAAAGTCTGAAATGTATTGTATGAGCCTGCTTAATACATCTGAATCGTCAAACTGAAAAGTTAAGAATATTCTATACGATTTTCATATACTCCTGTAGGCTGTGCAGTAGACTCCCTTATCCCAAAACCTTACTGTGAATAAATGAATATTATTTGGGAGAAATTACATATAATTAACAGCTTGAGCAAACTGCACTGTTTGTTTTGCTCATGTGAGAATTTAAGTGGTTTGTATTCACAAAATATCCAAATTACTTTACTATTCCCCCTTTTTTTTTTGGCATTAAAAGAAATGTGTTGCTTTATGCTATTTACAGTATATTGCCTCTATAATATTGTTGCCAAAAACAGCAATTTGTGCTTCAGAATACAGAACTGGCACGTCATAATGTGTACAGGTAGTCCTCGCTTAGCACCCACTTGTTCAGCACCCATTTGAAGGTATGCTGTTGCTGAACAAGGAGACTTACAACCAGTCCTTTAACAGTGTCCCCCACAGTCACATGATCACGATTCATTCGCTTGGCAACCAGCATGCAATTACAACAGTTGCAGCATGCCATAGTCACATGATTGCCATTTGTGACCTTCACTGCCAGCTTCCAACAAGCAAAGTCAATGGGGAAGCCAGCAGGAAGTTGCAGGTCGTGGTCACGTGATACCACGCTTAACAACCATCTTCGGAACTGCCAGAACTGCTGTCATAAGTTGGTATGGTCATGTGATTTTTTTTCACTTTACAACCATGTCACTTAGCCATGGAGTTGCCAGTCCCCATTAAGGTCATTAACTGAGGATTACCTGTATTTTCATAATAAAAAGAGTATTTTGTGATGTTCTATGGTTCAGACTCCTCGCTTATACCTCATTTTCTCAGTGGGGATGGGATGATAGCTACAGGGAGGGATATGTTTCCAGGGTGGGGGTATATGTCAGATCTTTTTCTACCATTCCAGCAGCACCTGGGACCCAGTTATAGTAGCATCCCTGGGAATGCAAGCCGTAAGCAGAAGAGGTTATCCCAGGGTAGCAATAAATATCAGATGCCTTAGGAAGGTGATCTTCTGGGGTCCCTGGAATGCTGCTCTCATAGTAATCTGAATATCAAGAAGGGGTGAGAAGAGAGAAATGCAATCTACTTAGTGATCTCTAATTTTGTGTGGATAAAACTCTGGCGGTGATTGATTTTGCTGCTTTAGTGCCATGCAGGGCCTAGAGAAAGACACATAAGCAGGGTACATAGAAATACCCTAAGAAATCAATCTATGCCCAAAAAGGGTTTGCTGAATAGATCACAGTTATATTATTGTAATGAGATAAAATAAACTGAAAAAGGTGTGTGAGGGCAGAGTACTTCCAGATTATCCCAACAATAGTTAGAAGATTGATCGTTTATATCTGCATATGTACTTCCTAAGTTGTTTTTTATCAGGTGATCACACTGTTTAAATATAGTGAGTTACTGCATGGAGATATAGTTATATATTGCCGCAATTCCATAATTACACTGAAAAGACAGTGCTTTCCTTGACTGTTAGTGACAGAGGAGTTTCAAATTGAAGTAAACCAAATAATTAATGATATGTGTATTGATACCTTCTTTCGTATTTCTGCAGTGTGAATGCTCTGTGAAAAGACAGAGGACTTCAGTCCCCAAGCTTGCCAAATCCCTTATCTTTTGTGAACTTTAAATTAATTTTTAAAAACCTATTTATTCAAGGTTGACTAAACAGCTAAAATAGGAAAGATCAGACAAATCAGTAGCAAGAAATGAAATATGAGGAAACCAGAGTTCTTTGACAAAGTATCTCAGGGGGCAAGTGTGCTGAATGAAGCCAGTAGGGAAATGATAAGGGCATTTATGCTGGGATAGAAGAAAGCAATTTATCAAGAGTACATGAGCTCTCCAGTGACCACAGCAAAGAAGATACCAAAGTGCATAAGGAGGAAGAGGACTCCCTGCAAGAAAGTGTTTAAAACTGACAAAAATTGTATTTTAAAAAATACAGTATCACAAAGGAAGTCCATTTTGTTAAACATTATGCCTCATTAATGATTCTTGAGTCTTTCAGAATAAAAGCTTAACGCAACAAAAAACAGTTGAACTGATTTTGGAGTTATGGAATGAAAAGGGGGAAGCGAGAGACGTTATTGTATGAAGTCTGTGTGTGCAAATAAGCTTGCCTGTACTGTATACATTAAAAATGTACTTTCAAACAGCAAAATGTTAAGTGAAAGTTAAAAGCTACTACTATTGCATTTTGTTCCACATGGCGATTTCTCAACAGAGTACGTTGTACAAATAGATATTTTCCCTCTTCTACCTACCTTAACAATAAAAATATTTAGAAAAAGAGACACTAAATTTATACACCCAATTACCTACCCATATAATACTGTATATCAGTCAGGTATTTGCTATAAATGCCCTTAAATGTGTATTCTGTGCATCTTATCTTCCGAGTTATTACAATGTATTGGGCTCTTTTAATTTACCCTACAATGAGCCATAATAGTTAGAACAGTAGAGTTTAATAAGAGATTGAATTTAATGAACTGTTCTCATTTTACCCTTCTCTGTCCTTATTCCTTCTTTCAGCTTTGGACAAGCTTAGCACTCAGCATTTGTACCATCCAACTCAAGTGGAGATTGTACAATCCAATGTTGTGTTTGACATCAGCAGCTTGATGCTATATGGTACTCAGGCTGTGCCAGTAAGACTGAAGATTCTGCTAGATCGGCTGTTCAGTGTATTGAAACAGGAAGAAGTGCTGCACATCCTTCATGGTTTGGGATGGACTCTTCGGGACTATGTTCGGGGCTACATCCTTCAGGTAGGAACCTAGTCTACAAACAGGTGGGCAGCCCCAGGATTTAAAAAAAGACAACGGAGGCATAATTTCTTCATTTCATCTCTCCCTCGTAATGCAGTAGATATGCTGAATGTTACTGGAATTGGGGAAAGGGGGAAATAACGTTGCTGGTATGTGATTTTTCCTGAGTAGTTTGAAAAAGTCACTAAAACATTTCTCTTGTATATCTTTACTGCATAGCAAGAGCTGTATGACTTGCATATGCTTCTAGGATTTCAACGTTTCATTCTGAAACTAGTACAATTTCTAGCCCTCCTAGCCTGAATTGAAAATAAATATTATTTAAAATAATAAATTAAGGAGGATAGAATTAACTAAACATTGTCCTTATGATAAATCCATTCATGAAGATTATTCACTTTTAACTGTAGGATTTTCAGAATAGTTTACTTCTACATAAGGAAAAGTAATGAACAACATTTATTGGCTATTGTCTGATATCTGCAAGAATAATAGAGATATAGATTATGCCACCATTGCATTCCATTAGAATATCCTGGTTACTTATGCTTGTTATTTAGGGGTCTGTGGCTCATAATATATTTCACTGCAATCACTTCTTATGATGGCTTGAAACTGATAGCCCTTATTTAAGTATGTAGGTAAGATTTAGGGTGCATTCCTGTACACAGTTACCTAAAAGTAAGTCTCACTGATCTTCTGATTAGGTATGCATAAGCCTACATTGTTAAATTCCTATAGTGTACACTAAATTGAAATACCAACTATAACCAAATTGTGAATTGGTAATTTTGAACTTATCCTCAGGTAAGCATGTATACAACTGAATGCTCAAAGGAAGTCAAAATAATCAAATTATTATCTATAATTGCATATTATATTTATAACCAGAACACAGTGATTGCAAAACAATAACATCCTGTGTTTAAACAATCACTGTGTTTGGAGGTAATGTGAAACTGTGGTTTAATGTTTCAGAAATAAGCTTCTCTCTAAGCTTGCATGCTTTGCTACGATGCGGGTACATGGTAGAGATTGGATACTTCTGTTTTAGATTATCTGCAGCTTAGTCTGTAGCGTGAGCTCTAAACTGGTTCAATTTGGACAATATGGCCAACTATGTTTTAGCTGCAAATGCTCCTGGTTTATTTTTAAGTTACCACGTGATTCAAATAGACTGCAGTGTTTTCTTCTAACCAGAATAATCCAGAGAAAGAAGCTTAAAACAATACATTGGTTCTTCTTCTAGTTTTTCCTGGCCAGAAGATGCCATTGTACCATATTTGGGATGATACAGAAATCTATAAACAAGCTATGGTTGCAGGCCTGAACTCAGAAAAAGAGCCCTCTGGCACATCCACAACTGAACTACAGTTGTCTAGGGATGTATCATCTGAACGCAACCTATGTGTATTACCAAAAATAAGCTGACTTCATTAGCTACAGTATAGTGCTATGTTTGAACTGACAGTGATTAGATGCATTCAATGACTTTTAAAAAAAAGAACAGTAATATATTCCTCAAACTTCTGCCATTCACACATGGAAGTATCTGAAGCTTCTCATTCAGTGACTCCTATTCCTATTTACTTGGAAGCAAGTTCATCTGTGTTTAGTAGAGGTTATTTACTAGTTACACTGTTCAGCACTGAACCCTTAGAAACTTCAATTCAAAGAGTATAGTGGCTGGGTTTGTAGAATTTTTATGAACTGAAATACATATTGCTATGTATAAAACAGGAGCACGTCTGTGTATTTCTAACAGCCCTATTCTACCAAGAAGAAATTAGTGCAAGTGGCACCACCTAGCTGATCTTCATTGAGCTAAAAAAATATAAGCATGGGCAGACCTGATTGGTCTATTTTTAATCCTGGGTGAGGTCATGTTTCCCAGGCAGAATCAGTTCATAATCTGTGGGTCCTCCTGGACCCATAGCTTCTGCTCAAAGGCAGCAGCTGTGGTTAGGAGGGCCTTTGCATTCTTCATCTTGTGTGCAACTGATGGAGCATGTTCATTGTCCCACATACCTAAGTCATCTCACATGTGGACTACTTTACATTGGGCTGCCATGAGGACCACTCCAAAACTTCAACCAATCCAGATCATTGTGGCTTAGTTATGAGTGCTAGTTGATTTGCTTATATAAAATCAGTGCTTGAGAGCTGCACTGATTACCAGTTTGTTTCCAGATGCAATTCAAAGTGTTGGTTTTTAGCATTACTGGCTTAGGACTTGGATATATTCAGGACCACCCTTTCAGTGGTTTCTGTCCATCATTAAGATTTAGAAGAGAAGGTACCCTCCAGGTCTCTACCCTGAAGACTGTCATCTGCGGAGGCAGTGGAATATATTCCATTCTCTGGAATGGAGATTGGATTCTCCATTCAACGTCTGAGTTTTTAAAAAGCAATATAACCCTGGCTTCTCAAGCATACATTTGGGGTCTGCGATACTGTCCTTAATCCTTTTTGCAAAGAGGGACAGGTTATTAGCCGTGCTCAGGGTATTTTGCTATATACCTGTTATGCATTTTGTTTTTAATTTAATTACTATATTGGACATGTATGGCACTTAGAGCCAGCTATGACTGGAGTAGCATATAGGCCCAATAAATAAAGACATACATACATACATTCTTGGATGGGGGACCATCAAGAAATATCAGGATTGTAGTTTAGACATCAAAGTCGGACAAATTGGAAAAAACATCCTGAAGGAGGAAATGGTAAGCCACTTCACTATTGTTGCCAAAAAACTACTACCAGGAGTCAAGTTCAACTTGAGGGAAACTTTGTTTACTCATAAGGATCATTGGTGAAGTCTGTTTGCCCCAATATTATATTTTGCTGAAGAGCCTTCTCATTACTATTTGTTGATTTCTATAGCAGGGTCTATTATTAGATGTTGATAGAAGTGTTTGATTTGTTGCTCCTGCATAAGAAGTAGACCATAATTTGTTACAAGTTGGAAAGCCTTTTTGTTTGTTTCTTGTTTTAAAGAAAACATTTCTGATCAGTTTATATTTAGAAAGACAATTAAATGTAAGAAGGAGCAGTGCTCTGGAATTTCATGTTTGTGCAGTTATATTAGCGTGCCAAGATGCCTGTTCACTGGAAGAAAAGAGATACAAACTCAAGTGCATATGCTCACTAACAATAGTTTTAGATGCATATCTCCAAAACACAGTATAGAGGAGCAGGTCCCACTTCTTCAGAAAACATGCTTTCGATCTGTTGAAGAAGCATGCTGGGGTGTACTTAGTCCCATGACATCTTCAGTATTTTATTCTGAATTTTTACTAAGGCCAACGTAGCCTGTGTTTTTGTTGTAGATCTGTTCTTTTATATATTCCAAATCTGAATTTTTTAGTAAAAGTTAAGCTGAAGTGAGTGGAATGTAAACTTAGGACAAGAGTGCTAGTTTCACTGAAAAGATCAAATGAGAGCTTTGTTCTTAATAACTTCTGCCTTTTGTTTTTATCCTAATTCTCCAATTATATCTTTCGGTTTTGGATAAGCTAAGGCTATTACATAAAACCTAATAAACAGGTTAGAGGCAACAAAATTGCTAGTACTTTATTAATATCCTTTATATCTTTTCAAACCTTTAACCAGTTGGCAGTTGTCTAAATGTAAAATTATAATTCTTTTTTTCATTGTGTGAAAACATGGATATGTGCATTCCCATACACTTTAGATTCATACATATCCCTTCTGCTCACAGATGTACATTTTTCTCTTAAACAATGCCATGTGTGCTTGTGTATTATAAATTCCTATGGTCTGAATAATATTGCTAAAAGGTGAATGAAAAGACCAGTATCCTGATAAGTAGATTTGGTTTCTACACAGTGCTTTTTTAAAAATGCCTTTTTTTTCCAAATGAAATGTTCAAAACTCCGAGATTGTATTCTGTAACTCCTGCATAGCAAAAGGAAGCTTGTACTGAGTAAATGTTGCAGAAAAATAGCCAAAACTTTATTTTTAAGATATCTATTAGAATGACTGTGCATGAACAGGGTAGAATTGCGGACAGGTAGCTGAGTTAATTTGTTTCAACAAAAACAGGCAATACTTTGGTGACATCTTAAAATCTGATCGTATCATTTTAACAGTATTTAGGTGTTTGAATTCATTCTGCAGCACCAGTGAGCCTTCCAAAGCTTCCCCAATATGTGAGCTGAACTGTTGTGCGGGAATTTTGTGTCTTTTCCAAGAGATCAGTACTGACAATGCAGTGGTAAGGAGCCATGTAATTTTGTCTTGCCCTTTTGCTGGCAGGCTTTAAAAGTTAGAGCTGCACCATGGAATGAATCCACAAGTAAGCCATTCTCACAACTTTGCTGTAATATCTAAAAGGCAAAGTTATCAACAGCTATACTGTGAGTCTCATAGCTGAGCACTGTAAAGCTCCACAATACACCATTACGTTAGAGGTCAGTTTATTTGGATGAAGTTAAATCATACTGTAGCCTTCAAGGCTTCAGAATGATGATCAGATGCAGTAACTGAACTGTACTGAATATTAATTGTTAAAAAAGAGAATAATTATCAAGGCAAGTTAAAACAGCTATAGAAGGCTTACCACATATTGACTTGGTTAGCAGTTGGCTTGCAGGCAGAGTTGCTGGGCAAATGAAGGAATATGGTAAGTGACCTGGGTAAGTACAGTTATTACTTATGTTCTCAAATATTCTGCATAAGCAATTTGGAAAGAAGAATCATACTGGTATATGCCTATAGAGAATAATATGTAAATATAAATAAATAAATAAATAAATAAATAAATAAATAAATAAATATAAAAATTAAATGAATTAAGCTCCACTATTACAAATGCTTACATTCTTTTATTCCCTTAAAAAATGCAGTGAGCAAAGGTTGCACATCCATAAGATAGACCCCAAACGGATCAGTTATTATATGTGCCAGAAATGGTAGACTTGTCATTGCCTTCTCTTTTGTTAAATTAAAGCCTCAATCAGACACAAAATCTTCAG